GACAGAGGACTGCTCTGCTAGGGTTTCGAATGGCGATCGCCATTGATTCTGTCGCTCGACCTTTCTGCTTCGTTGGCATTCTGCTGCTCGGCGTTCGTCTGCGTTTGCTCGACGAGTTTTCTCGACGAGTCTCTCTGCTCCACGAGTCTGCTCGGCGTGAGTTAGCTCAGTGTTCGTCTTTTCTCTGCTCGACGAGTCTGCTTGGCGTCGCTCACTCGGGTTCGCCTGCTCGACGAGTCTCGAAGCTTCGCGCTTCCGTTCTGCTCGTGAAGCTCACTATTCCTGCCGCAACAACTTTGCTGCAGCTTAACTCCGACAGCTCTCCTGCTCTGATGCCGTCTCCTTGTTTGGTTGAGTCGAACAAAGTCTCCTTTGCTCACGTGGTGGGTAGCCCTCAGGTAGAGTCCGCAGTGGGATTTCCCTCAAGTTATAAGGAATCTCGTGAGGGTACAAATGATTGTCCTTTTATTAAAAAGAGAAGCAGAAAAGACAGAAAAGATGCAATCTTTTTCTCTGAAACAGAAATTTCTACTATGACGAAAAAATTCAAGTTTGCTCTTATTGGAAAATTTCAGTGGGGACACCCTCCTATGGACACCCTCCTATGAAGGTTATCAGAAAAAGTGTTGATGATCTTAAGCTAGTAGGCAAGTGGAAAGTGAACTCATGGATATGAGACATGTGTTGATCCAACTAACAGTGACTGAAGACTACACCTTAATTTTCTCTAAGAAATATCTTAATATCGAAGGCAAATCAATGAAGTTACTCGACTGGTCTCCTAATTTCGACCCAAATTATGAAACTCTCACTGTACCGGCATGATTTAGTTTACCTGATCTCAATCTGCATTTTTTTCACCATCAGGTTCTCTACTTTATTGGGGTCATCCTTGGGGATCCTTTGAAACTAGATCTGCCCACTTTCAACCTACTAGACCTTCGGCGGCTAGAATACTTTTGGAAAAGGATATTAATTTACCAGATGTTACTGAAGTCTGGCCGGAGCACCTGGAGGTGTCTGTTGCACCTGAGGACCCCCCATGTCACTGCTGTTACTGCGAGTGATGCGATGCTGGCACCTACAAACTCCATACAAAAGAATTCTGATGGACTATTGCCTATAAATGATAGAGTTCAGATTGATAATCAGGAGAACCTCGTAGCTCCACTTCTTCAAGAAGTAACCGGTGTAGCGACAACTCACACTTCTCATATTGTAGAACCTATTGTGGGTACTACTGTTCCTTCTGGTTCAGCTCTACCCCATCAGGCGGATTCTTCGGA